GCTTTGGAACCTATAAACTCAAAGCTATCTCTGCAGTATGGGTTGGGAATGGGCCCATGGGTATTTATTGCTCCAGTTCCCAGGCTGCCTGGAGAGTTCCTAACCCTGAAGAGATTGAACCCTGAAGTGTCTTCAATGAGTCCATGTCTTGTCCATGGCCCTCTGGCTCAAGTGATCTATTTTCCCTTTGCCCACCTGGAAGCCCCACCATGTATAACCACTGAGTTCACAACTGTGCTAAGCCTGATTTATTCCAGGTGAGGAGAGACAGCAGCGAAGAAGTCCCCGAGAGTCCCCGGGAAGTAGCTGTTTAACAATGTACTATAATAGTTGTGTGGTGGTGGTACACTCCTTTAATCCCAGCACCCAGGAAAAAAGGTAGGCTGATCTTTGTGAGTTTGAGGCCAGCCTGGTCTACAAAGTGAGTTCCAGAATAGCCAGGGCTACACAGAGAGACCCTGTCTCAATTTTTAAAAAAAGCAAACAAAGAGAGAGAATGCAGAAGAGCCTTAAGTGGTGTGAACCTCCAAATAAGACCCCAGCCAGTGGAAGTGGGAACTACATGAGTACAGAATGGTTTCACTGAAGAGGGGAAATTCTTTTTCAGATGTGCACACTGATGCTGGAACAGACACTGTGACAGAGACTGCTCATTTGTTTCCCAGCCACCCAGACCCAAATAATCACACAGAAACTAAATTAAAACACTGCTTGGCCTATTAGCTCAGGCTTCTTGTTAGCTAGCTCTTACATCTTAAATTAACCCATTCCTATTATTTGGTATTTTACCACGAGGCTTGTAGTTTACAGGTTCCAGGGCATCTGTCTCCTTCGGCAGCTACATGAATATGTCCTTGACTCCATCTACTTTCTATATCTGTTTGGATTTCCCACCTGGCTTTATTCTGCCCTGCCATAGGCCTGAAAACAGCTTCTTTAGTAACCAACGGTAATAAAACATATTCACAACACATCAAGAAACCTTAGTGCAGCAATAAACCAGTCATGCAAATATCTAGAGAAGAATGGCAAAACTCAGGTTTGGAGACTTGTGGCTGGAAGGCTGTCTGAAGGTGGGGAGAGCCAAGGACAGGTCTTCAGGGTCTTGTAGAGCCAGCTTGCTTTTGTCGTGTAAGATCCAAGCCCCAAGAGGGTTTGGAACAGAAAGACATGGGCTGACTCAGGTAAAGAGAGCCACTGTAGGTACTGTAGCCATGTAGACTCCCAAGACACAGTAGCTATTCTGCAAGAGCTGAGGGCGGGGACCCGAACAGAGAGGGTGTTAAGATGTGTGGGTAAACAGCCAGACAGTGGTGTTGCACACCCTTAATCCCAACACTCAGGAGGTGGATCTCTGTGAGTTCCAGGACAGCCAGGACTACACAGTGAAACCCTGCCTAAAAAAAAAAAAAAAAAGTGTAAATGTAAATAAACATGCTAGAAGCAAGAGCTCCTTGTGCGGGTAAGGCTCACGCTCCACAAGGGCAGGGCACAGGGCTGAGCAGTGTGAGGGAAGCCTAGTAGACTGTGTAATAGGGAAAGCACCTGTTTCACTTTGGTACCACCATCCGGGGACTGGAGAGGGCACAAGGCAGCTCGGCCCCAAATTAGGCAGGAGCCAGAGTGGACCTGACAATCAACAGGCTCAAATCAAGCAAATCCCATGACATGCCAGTCCCTACAATGCCACCACCACTCAAGCGGGTGGTGCGCCTCTTTAATCCTAGTTCTCAGGAGGCAGAGGCAGCAGAGTTCTAGAGTTCAAGGCCACCCTGGTCTACAGAGTGAGTTCCACGACAGACAGGCCTACACAGAAGATTACTGTGGGAATGTTGGAGGCTTCCAAGAAGAGCTACAAACTGGAGAGGCAGATAAGGCCAACCGAAGATACTGGGGATCTGGAGCGGCACGGTCCTCTCTAGCTCCCTGTGAGCCACGCCTCCTCCAAGCCACACCTGACACTCCTCGCTGCTATCCACAGAATAAAGCTTTGCCTGGCATCTCACCTGGCTCTACACATCTCCAGCAGGCAGTTGTGTTCAACAGACTGCATTTACATACATTAGTGTCTGTCCACTTAGGCTGTCGGCCTTGCCAAAATGTCCCTTCCCTTCTCCAGACTTACATTTTGTTCGTATTTATTTGCATTGCTGGGATGGAACCAGTGCCTCACAGAAGCTAGGTTACCAAGGGCTCACACTGATCTGCATCCCCAGCCAGAGCTCTGCTTCTTAAACTTTTGCCTACTTCTCTAAGGCCTCCTCTAGGCCAGGCATGGTGGTACACGCCTTTAATCCCAGTACCAGGGAGGCAGAGGCCAGTCTGGTCTATATTCTCCAGAATCCCTATACTAAAGAAGTCTCCCACCACCCATCACCTTCAGCTTGGGTAAACTGCTGGCCATGTTGGACTGAATTAGGCTCTCTCCTTGGCCTGGTGATTTCTAGGAGTGACTTTTTTATTTGCATATATGTTCTAGTGGGATGGCAAACTGTGTGGTCACCCCTCATCACCCCGCCCCTCTCCCCTCTCCACCCAACTGCAACCCTTTGGGCAGGAGCCATGCCTTGTTCCTTATCTTGTCAGAACTTCACACCGCACTCCAGCACACTCAGATAGGTCACTCATTCGCGCCGATAACGGGGGATGTGGGACAGAGAGCCACGTGAGCAAAACAGCCGACCAATGGGTCCCTGCTCTCCTGATTCATGGGAGCGAGCGAAGAAAGGAGGCATGAAAACATCACTGCAGAGTTACATGTAATAAAGAGAATATCCCCAAGGTGGGTGTAGGAAAGGTTTTCAAAGAGAGGGTATTTGAGACTTGAATAAATTGAAGGAACCAGGCCCATATCTGAAGAAAAATTCCAGAAAGAGGGAAAAGCTAGTGCAAAATCCTGAAGCTGGACACTTCTGAAGCTTCTCAGGAGTAACAAGGTGTGTGTGTGTGCGTGTGTGCATGTGTGTGTGCATGTGTGCATGTGTTGGGGGGAAGCAGGAGAAACCAATGAACTTAGGGAGGTGGTGGAGAGGCCACAAGGGTCGGCAAAGGCAGGGCTTGGGCAGCTGTGATAAGGGCTGGGAGGTTCCTGTGTTTGCCTGTTCATGAACAGAAGCTTTTAGACGAGGGAACAACATGGTCTAATTTCCCTAGATCAAAAGGTTTTTATTCTTTATCATCACATTGCAGATAAAGTGCCACAAACCCTCTTCTGACTACACAAAGTAACCAAGGAACATTTCTCCATCTGGAAACAAAAATGTTTGTTACAATATGGTCTGCAGGGCCCAGAAGATGCTGGTTCCAGGTTCCTTCTGGGGGTTATTCTCACAGAACACAGCAACAATGGCCAGCATTAAGTTCTACAAAATTACCAGATTCAAACTCTACGGCACCAAGCCACAACTCGATAACAACCGTGAATAGTCACAAATGTCCAAGAGGCACAGAGCAGTTACAGAGGCGTCCTCAACGAAACACAAGCAGGCCTGTACAGCTTAGTCGTCCAGTAAGAGCAGAGGAGGTGCATGGGTCTTACTTAAAAGGTGCAAAATGAAGAACACATTAACTTTCTGCCCATACAAGCTCATAACTGGACCAGAAAACACCCAAAACGTGACAGTATTATGTTTCTCTTCTAATTTACAAAATATATTGGTGAATCAAAGGAGAGAAAGGAAAAAAAGGAAGGAAGGCAGGCAGGGTGCAAGCTAGCAAAGACTGAGGGTTCTCTATCCCCATTGTTTTCTGTCTCCAAGTCCTAGGGAGCAGAAAGGAAGGCCTTTCGTGAGACAGAGACAACCTGGGGGGGGGGGGGACTCGGAGGGGCAGGGCAGTTTAGCCTCTTTTATCTATAAACCCACAAGGGGTGGGGGAGGCAAAGAAGGAAGAGACACCAAAGTTTCTTTAAAAGAACACAGTGTAAAATGAAGTGATTAGCTGTCCTGTCCCAGCCCTGCACTGTACGCTGTGACTATTCTAAGCCTTGCAAGGGCAAGGGGGCAGAGAGCACTGGTAATTCATAAGACAGGGCCCCCTCTCTGGAGACAGGCAGATTCCACAAAGTGTCTCCTTAGCTATTTGGAAAATTCTTCTTCAGTTATTCATTTCAGAGACGGCCTATTAAAAACCATGTGAGACCCATGCCAGTGTAAAAAGCCACATACATGGCCAGAAAGCCCCTCTCCAGCACCTACAACCTAGCAGCTTAAAAACAGGTAGGTGAAGGAGAAACTGACAAAGGGTCTAACTTCTGTGTAGGTCTAGAAGTGAGGCTTCAGATAAGAAGGCTCCTACCTTGAGCACATGCCCAGATATGCCCAGCTATGCCAGCCCGGTGCAGTCTCTGGAATTAGGAGCTCTCACTATATTAACAAGGGGCCCTTACGGACCTTGAAAGCGGGCAGCAGGGATGATGGTGGGGTAGGCAAAGCTCCTCAGAAAGGCTATGGCCAGGCGTGGGTGGGGCACAGCGTGGGTTTTCACAAGCCAACAGCTGTCTATGAGAGGGATACACATAGGATACGAAGGACAGTACTGATCACGACGATGCGCCGGCCATTGCTTCAGGCCCTGGGCCTCGCGCAAGTCTGATCATCTGGCTGCCCAGGTTGCAGATGCCCAACAATTCAGAGGATAGGAACTGCTCTGTGGTCCTGGAGCCATGGGCTACCCAAGTCTGGTTGACTGCCAGGATCACACGTGCTTCCTCTTAGGTGATGAGCTTCAGCTTGGGACTGTCAGCACAGCTGTGAAGCCCAGCATACTGTAGCTTTGAAGCACTAGGCCTCCTCAAACGGGCTCTGGGCCTTGTGAAGCCCTGTAGGTAATGGTGTCACGTGAGTAGAAAGGCCATGTTTTACAGGTGGATCCAGGCCACACAACCGGATGGTAGTACAAGTCCATAGAGTTGGGCGCCCACTATAAGTGCAGTGGCATATGAGATCACACAATGTCACAACCTTGGCCCTGAGTCCACCAAACACGCTGAAGAGCCAGAATTCACAGGAGAGGAAGCAAACGGCAGCGCTCTGGCATGGACATAGGTAGGTAGGTTCACCGGCAGAGGAGTAGTCCTACGTAGGTGCCATGTACTGGAGCAGGACTTAGCCAGACTGGAACCCATAGGGCCTATGCAGAGCCTCTGGTGACCACCTTGCAAAGCCTGGTCTAGCTCTGCAGGGCCGTTGCCCCAGTAAGTAGTACTGCAAAGGGTTGGACCACAGGTCATCTTTAATGATCTGGGCCACCCTGTCAGTTTCTACAAGGCTATGCTGTGAAAACCAGCTGAAGAAGCTTCGCATGGTGTCGCGGTTCCTGTGCACCAAGGCTGGGGGTTCCTGGCCTCGGTGCCAGCGGATGCGAGTAGCCTTGGACACCACCCGGCCTGAAGGTCTACACTCATACTCTTTCACTATCGTCTCATTTTGGAAGTAGGGGTTGCTCCCAAACAGGAACTTGAACTTGCAACCTGTTCTGGTGTGTCTGAGCTCCCTCACCTCCAAATTTATCAGATAGCCAAGCATGTCTTCATCCCTAGGGCTGATCATGGTTGACAGCTGTGGGTGGTTCAGAAAAGCAGTGACCCAAAAGCCTGGAATGTTTTGGATGATGAAGCTCCGGCGGGCTAGGTGCAAACGGCGCATCCTCCCAAACCTGCGCTCCAGCGGAAGGTAGGCCCTGGCCCCGTCAGCCTGGGCACTCATGACCTCCAGCTCCCATTGGATGGCCTCCAGCGGGTCTACGATAAGGGCCCCTAGGTCCAGAATCCCCAAGCTCGCCTGGGCCTCTGCAACGCACTCCAGCTTTTCCCCCACCTCCACAGGCTTCTCCGCGGCTACGGTGGCCTCCTCAGTCGTCACTTCCTGGGCCTTTCCTCCGGTCCCCACCTGAGTCCCCCATCCTTGCATACAGCCCTCCGGGTTCAGGACGCTGGGCGTGGGAGCCTCTCCAGTGTTTTCTGGGGCAGGCAGTGTGGTCCCGGGGCTGGCTGTAAGGTCGGAAGACCCGTGTGCCCCAGCTCCGGGGACGCTGGACGCCGGGACGAGGCGCACATCCTGCTCTTGCCCAGGCGGTGGGTGCACGGCCAGCTCCAGAACTCCAATTCCCTGGCCCGCCATCTCCTGCTGAATCTCTGGATGGAGAGGTCCGGAAGCACCGGCAGGACTGTGGTGTTGTTGCCGCAGTAGGACGCTGGTGGCAGGCGGGGTCTCTTCTCTGGGGCGAGCTCCGCCCCTCGCACCCCCCTTTGCCGGATGTGACTTGCTAGGTTCCCTCCACTGCTGGGGACGGGGAAGACCACCCATGACAAACAGAACTGGTTCCAGGTTAGCAGGGCAGGTGTGGACTAGGCAAAAGGGCAACTGGAGCAGCATCCGGGCACAGGCTCAATCCTCAAACATGGTTATAACCTTCCACCGCGCAGGGGAGGACTGTTTCCCTTGCCTGGTTCTTTGCAGCTTTAGAGCATCAGGCAGCTAGGACACTTGCAGCCTTGCACAGGATATATTATACTGGCACAGGCAGAGGGCTGACCAGATTCAAACTGGAAAGTAAAGATAAGCATAACTGTCTGGCAATCAAGCTGCTGGAAAGGAAGGTACTAGAAGGATCAGGCCAGCAAAGATCTTAAATTGCTGCAAACCAGGAAGCAATCGTCGCTAGTCTGGTTCCCACAGGAGCTAGATACTCTTGGTTATTGCTGTTGAAATCAAGTGGTCCTTGCTTCACATGGCTCAGGCTCCAGACTGCCCCTTTGCTCAGTGGCAGCCATTTCAGAGGAGAATTTTAAAGGATACGTACGTGCTGGACAGTGGTGGCCCAAGCTTTTAACCCCTATAGGGGAGAGGTAGGTGACTCTGTGTTTGAGGCCAGCCTGGTCCAGGACAGCTAGGGCTACACAGAGAAAGCCTGTCTCAAAAATCCAAGGTGGCAGTGATGCCCCGGGCGTAGGGAGGGGTGGAATTCTATGTACAAATTGAGGTCTTTGTTTTGTGTTTTTGTTTTTCGAGATAGGGTTTCTCTGTGGTTTTGGAGCCCGTCCTGGAACTAGCTCTTGTAGACCAGGCTGGTCTCGAACTCACAGAGATCCGCCTGCCTCTGCCTCCTTCAGCAAATCCTACCGGCGTGCGCCACCACAACCGGCCAAATTGAGGTCTTGACTCAAAAAACAAAAAAAGGGCCAAACAAGGTGACAGAGCACTGAGAGGCAGAGACAGTGGGATCTGAGTTTGAGGCCACACTGGTCTATATGCTGAGTTACATGGGGCTACGTAAGGCTGTGATAGCTAATCTTGGTCAAGTTGACACACCTGGGAAGAGACCTTCAATCGAGGAACTGCCTCCATCATACTGGTCTGTGGCGTATCTGCCGAATACTTTCTTGATTAGTAATGGATGAGGAGAACACAGCCCATCATGGGTGGTGCCATCTCTGACTGCGGGGAGCGGAGGAAGCCTTGCCAGTGTGTATTACTTGTACACACTGAGGATCAATGCCTCAGACCCACAGGAACTGGCAAAGCCTTCGTCTGGTCCTGTGGGAATGCTGATTAAGTTCAGAAAGCTTGAGACCTGAGACTGTTCGCCCACAGAGACCTCCTACCAAGACTAGCTAACCCTTCCTTCCCGGGCCGAACATAATAAAATCATGGAGGTTCCAACTGCTACGTAGTTGGTTTGGCTCCATAAGAGGGAACACCAAACTAATCCCAGCTTTTCATACATGTTTGTCCTTCGTTCTTATTCCCTCATCTCAGTCTTCCAGGGAACCCGTTTGCAGGACCAACTCATGCATGGTCTCTCAGTTCCTGCCCTGTTTGAGTTCTTACTCTAACTTCCCTATGATGGACTGTAACCTATATGATGAAATAAACCCTCTCATCCCCAAGCTAGTTTTGGTCACTGTTTTATCAAAGCAACAGGAAGAAACTTGGATAGGGACCGGGTCATAAAAAAAAATAAAGTAAAAAAAAAAAAGACTGAATGCAGGGGCTGTGTCTGGACAGACGAAGAGCCTGGATGGAACTGCCCTTGCACTCCACAGTCCTTCAAGTGTGGCTGCATTCCTGTGATCTCAGCTCCCAAACTACGGAGGTCAGCACACTGAACGCCTCCATATCTCTGCCTAGATGTCCTCACAATATCCTCCAGAAAACCTTCAGCTGCATCCAGAGGACACCACAGCTCTATCTGAACCCCCTAGATCAGCGGTTTTTCCACCTTCCTAATTCTGCAACCCTTTAATACATACAGTTCCTCATGTTGTAGTAACCCCAACCATAAAATTATTTTTGTTGCTACTTCATAACTAACTTTGCTACTATATGAATCACAATGTAAATATCTGATATACAACTCCTGTGAAAGGGTTGTTCAACCCATAGGTTGAGAACCACTGCCCTTGACACTTCCTAGACTGAATCTCTTGGGGTCCTAGCTGGAGTTCTGACCACTGGGGTAGGCAGGATATTTGTCAAAGGAGAGGCTAAAATAAGGAATCTGTCCCGTCTTTGTGTGCCAAATCACCTGCACATTGCTGCTTCTTGTCCTCATTGCCTCTTGGACTACACTCCGAGTGACTGTTTGCCTTTGGACACTGTTTCCAATCCCCTAGATGAGAAGACCTCAGTGCAAGGGGTGGGGCCTGGGAGGGCAGTGACAATCTGTTAAGAGACAGGCCAAGTAATAGTGTCAGGTGAGCCCACATCAGCCTGGAAGCACTATCTAAACAGTGTTTGAGCACAGACGTGTAAAGCTGGGTCCTAGCTGTTAAAACATGTGCACCTTAGGGAGCCTAAAAAGGGTTCTCTTCCTTTCAGAACTTCATGAAGACATCTAAAATCACCGTCCACTCCAAGATACCAAAGGTGAATCTTTCTAGGACAATCAGCTGCACAAAAGTGGGCCAGATAATTAGTAATGATGAGATTGAACACGTTTGAGCCTCTGCATCAAAACAATTGTGCAGACTGAACTACTTCTGACATTTTCAGTTATGTAACACTTCAGTGTTTAAAGCCCATTTGATCTGGGTTTTCTGATCCTCAAGTCCAATGAAGACAATGAAGCCACTTACCTCAAAGACATTCAGTTAAGATCCACTGTTTGCCTCACCAGCATTACCCTGGATGCTAAAGAAGCCTGCCTGCAGGTTCCCATTCTTCACAATTTCAGGCTCACTCCAACCCTTCCCCCAATAAACAGGCTCAAAACTGCAAAGCACATCATTCAGAAGTTTTTAATAAACAACTTCATTATAAAAACTTTTTTTGAAAATTAATTCTGTAAAACATTGAAAAATCTACTTTAACAAAGATATGCCCTGTGCATTTTCTAATGGCACTTATATTTTACAATTAAAAACCTTGTTTTATATAAAGCCAAAAATACTCCAAGAGGTTATTCACTGTGTTTACAAAGTGCTAGAAGGTTTTTGTCTTGTAATTTTCTTTCTTTAAATAATCTGGCATTAAGAAAGAGTGGCTCCAAAGCTTCAACCAACTGGGAGTAAGAGAAGGGTGTGAAGTAGTGTTCAGGAATTCTAGTGCCGGACACGCAGAGGTTGCGCATGGGAGAACTGGCAGATGACACAGGCAACACCTGAAGCAAGTTGGTAGGAACCACTCCACACAGTCCAAGATTACACCATGAACACCCTTTCCACACCACAAACCCCACTCTCCAGTGGTGAAAGTCACAGCCACTTCCTTCTACAGCAGGTTCAGAGCTCCAGGAGAGGCCAGGGTGAGGTCCCAGAGAAATCTGGACTTTTCTGGCCAACACCTGCCTAAGGCAAAGTTTCTTATTACATAAATATCCTTGTTAAAAAGCAAAATATTGATCCTGTATAATACAACCTGTTTTTTTTTTTTTCTTTTTTTTTGTTTTTGTTTTGTTTTGTTTTTTAAATCGTGGAGAAGGGGTAGGGAAAATAGCTACCAAAAAGGGAAGGGAAAACTTAAAGGCTACTAAGGGAGGTTTAGGGAGATTTCAACTTATGACAATATCTACGAACAAAAAAGCAATCACACCTGCTTCCCCAGATTTGCATTAACAAAAACACCACGTAAAGTCGGGGAGAGACACACTGGCGCACCCTTCCCTGCCTCCCACCTGTTTAAGATGGTGCTAGGATCCTCTGAGCCGACACCTGGGCATGCTAGTCCCTGGCCCCAGGACAGTCCTCAACTCTGACAGCCTGTGCAGGCTGAGGGGCGCTTGCCCCTGTGCAGTGCATTGCTGACAGGCTAGAGTATGTGGCAAGGAAAGGGGACATCATTCTTTTCTGGTCCCTGATTGGTCTGTGCCACACACACACCATGGCTCCTGTCCTGGGCAGATGACCCTCTGGCTCTCTTGGCCTCATAAGGGGTACTTAAATGAGTTTGGGCACCGAGTACAGAGCAAATTATTTTCATCCTTTTAACAACTGGCCAAAAAGGCTCTTTTGGGTGGTAGGTTGGGGAAAGAGTTAAGAAACTGCAGGGTGGTTTGTGGTCCGAAAGAGTGAAGGCAGATAACCAGCGTTCACAGTGATAGGAAATTTCCTTAGGTAAGGACACTGAGAAAAGCTGAAAAACAGAAAGGATGGATGAGGAAAGGCAAAGAGAAAAGACTGGAGGTGGGAGCAAGGCCCCAGCTACAAGATTTACAATAGGTGCTCTGCTGTCCTATGAGCACCAAGGGAGGACAAGCTCAGGAGAACAGATCTCCTCAAATAGCCCAGTGCACTATACTGTGTGGCTGGAGGCTACTGGCTTCTGAAAACAATAGGGAGGTGGCAGGCAAAGGGAGAAAGGGGCCTGGGTCTAGTGAAGACCAAACACAAGGAAAATGGCAACAGCGAGTTCCACTTGGATTCTCACATGCCATTTCCTGTAATACGAGTCCCAACAACATGCATAGCATGCAGGAGATGGTTGCGTACCAAGGTAGACGCTTTTAAAAATAAACCTTAATTAGTCCCTGGGACTCACTGAAACTAATCTTTAGAAGCAAATCACCTAGTCTGATTCCAATCCTGTCAGACGTAGTTATATCCAGTTTTTTTGTTGTTGTTGTTTTTTATTTTAAAAAGGTATTCCAAGCTACCTTGCTTAAATCAAAACATCTTATTCACTCCACATTGCTTCCAAACAAGGGCCAGGGAGTTAAATCTGAAGGTTTTCACCTCAAACAAGGAGTACTGGCCTGGGCTGAAGCAGGAGTCCAGGTCTTGGACCTGCACAGTTCCCAATGATAAACTGAAGTGAATCTAGACAGAAGGGAGGGGACAGGGAAGAACTGGTGGGAGATTGAGGCAGTTCCTAGGTAGTCTGTCCTGAAACCCTAGTGGAGGAGCCAGCAAAAGGCACCACTAACAGAAGTGCCCAGGCTGCTGGCTACATCTGTAAGAGTTAACAGTAAAGAGGTAGAAGTGTGTTTCTGAATTAGAGAGGTGTCTCAAAAGGTTCCACAATGATGGTCCCTGAGCTGCCTCCCTTCCATGCATGGGAAAAGCCCATACAGAACCGAGATGAAATGGGAGTAGGGATCCGACTGCTCTGGGCAAGGGCTGTGCAGTCTGTGGCAGAGAGCCCCAAGTCAGCAGAAGAACTAACTTCTTGCAAGAAACACTGCTAGATACTCAGGGCAACTGAGGGGACCACGACAAGTTGAAGGTCTTCAACGGAGAGCAGAGAAGACAATGCACAGTGCCCAGAGTCCATGGGGACTGCGAAGCAGGGAAAGGAGAAGGGACGCTGTAGGTAAGAACATTTTGGTATGAGAGGCAACAATGATTTGATAGATTAGGACTCAACTATCTGCCCAATCCTAACTTTCTAGAAACTCCTCTGACAGTTCCATTCTGTCCTAGAGAAAGGACAAGCAGGAGGGAAACAAACACAGGGCACATTCCCTCTTCTCTGCTAACCAGCCCAGAGCCCAGAACCCCTCCTTCCAAGACAAATACAACAGCTCATGATGTCCAGGGTGGGGCTAGAGACTGGGGAAATGGTGGATATGGATGCCTTTCATTTCTTCCTCTCTCCAGTTCAGGAGGATGAAGGTGTCATGATGTACTTGGAGAAAAACCAAATTGCAGACCTGTGAGAAAGCTGCTCCAATCTTCTTGCCTATCTCCTGTGGACACTGCCACGGAAGGCAGGAACAGAAGCAGTCATGGAGATGGCAGAAACTGAAGCAGTCCAAAGTCAGTTTATTTCCCCACAGGGGAAAAAAATGTGACCTCAAGTGAAGAGAAGTCAGCAAGACCCGACTCCGCCTTGTAAACAGGGTTCCAGTTAACACCAGGTACCAAGTGGTTCAGGCTGGTGGCAACTGAAATGGACTGGTGGGAATGGATTCACGGTGTGTAAACAGTGTTCACTGCAATTACTCTAAGGCTAACAGTGTGGTGAGGGAGGTGAAATGGTGTGTCTGAGGAGAATGTGTAAACGGTACCGTTGCTGGACAACACTGACTGAAATGGAGCTGCTGGTAGAGTAGGGATTGCTGAGAATAGAGCCCCTCTTTCCTGCCTGGTAGCCGGAAGCAGGTAATAGTCAAGAGACCTTCCACAGCAGGGACTCAACAGCCACCTGCTGGAGGGTCTACAGGTTGGGACCAGAAGGCGGGCTTCTTAAGCTATTTCTCTTGAGGTCATACAAGTAAAACCCTCTGTCTCCAAGAGGCTTCCCCTTCTCCAGATTGAAGGTGGTTCTGATGCTTTGGAGAGACAGAGGGCTAAAAATAGCTCCCAGTTCAGATCAAAAAATAAAAGTAAAAATACCTGAAAGTCCTATGATAGATTGTTCACGGGGCTGGGTTCAAGGATCTCTCTAGATTGATCCTGGAGCCTGAACCCCTAAACCAAGTGCTCCATATAGACACTGGAATTCTCTTTTTGAACCCAGCTCTGAAAGCTCAGCTGCCTTCATGGGAGAGGTGGACGGGGTGGGTACTTAGGCTCCCTTGCAGAACCAAAAGACTGAGTGGGGGACCTCCATGGGGGCTACTGGAATGCTTGGTGGAAACGAGGCAGGGTGGTGGTACTCAGGCCAGAGGTGAAGACAGGAGGCAAGGAGTGCAGAGGTCCAAAGTTCAGGGGTCCCCCAGCTCCAGGGGAATCTTGAGGCTGAGCTTGCAGAGTGGTGAGCAGAGGCTGTGCTTCAGCTTGGGAGTAGCCCATGACCAAGCCTCCTGTGGCCCCTGGCGGGTTACATGGGGGTAGGTTGAGTGGAAGAAAGCCCAGTAAATGAGAGAAGTCCACATTAGCAGCGCAGAGGGCCTCAGAGAGGTTGGCGGGACTCTTGGTGAGCAGGGCTTCATCTAGAAGGGCTGCAGCTGCCGCTGGCTGAGGTGAGGCGGGCTGGGGTTCAGCCGATGAGAGAGAGAGGCTTCCAGGAAGCTCTGCCAGAAAACTATCCACCTCCACTTTGGGCAGTTTGTCAGGCAAGTATGAGGTAGATCCAAGCTGGTATTTTGGAGGGAGCTGAGCTGAGGAGGAGATAGGAGAAGATTCCAGAGGGTAACTCATACCCATGGGTAGCGTGTTGTGCACCAGCGAGTGTGGCACGCCCGCGCTGGGCATGGTAGGGATGTGGGCACCATACATACCCATGGGCAACATGCTAGGAAAGGCCTTGGCCCCCATCACGTCCCGAGAAGCCATGCAGAGCACGGGGCTCAGCTCTTCCTTTACACTGACTGTGGAGCTGCAGCTGAGTAAGCCTAACATATCCACTGGCTCTGTCTTGATCTTGAGCAGCTCCTGTGAATGGCTCTTCTTGACATGGCGTGTCAGGTGATCCTTGCGGCCAAACCTCTGGGCACAGTACTGGCACAGAAAGTCTTTACGACCAGTGTGGACCACTAAGTGCCGTCGAACATCCTTCCGAGTATAGAACCGCCGGTCACAGTGGTCACAGGGGTGCTTTTTCTCCTTGGCACCTCCTGCAACCCGGCGTGAGTGAGCTTTCAGGTGCTCCAATAGGGCCTGGGTACTCTCAAAGGTCTGCAGGCACACCTTGCAGCTGAGATCACCACTGCTGGCAGCATGCATGGCCAGGTGGCGACGGTAACCCAGCTTTGTATTGTAATTCTTACCGCACTCAGAGCAGTGAAGGGCCTCCTTGTTGGGGTCGTGGGTCTGCAAGTGGTTCCGCAGATGGTCCTTTCGGTGAAACATCTTGTCACAGTACATGCACTGGTGGGGTTTCTGGGCCGAGTGGGTGGCCATGTGCCTGGGGGTAGGGATAGAAGATGGGGAGAAAGCTGAAAGAGGGAAGTTCAAAGGGCTAACTAGACAACCAGATGTCTATGAACAGGAAACTACATTAAGAAATTTCAATAAAGCCATGCAACAGAATACCATAACAACTATATTCTACCAATATTCCTATAAAATGCATTATCATTCTTTTTGTTGTTGTTTTTTCAAGATAGGGCTTCTCTGTTTAACAGCCTTAGCTGTCCCGATTTAGTAACAAACATGAACAATCTAAGTTTACTAACAGGGAATTTGTTATACAATTGCTAAGTTTGTAATGTAACTATGATATTTAAGAAGTGAGCTTTATATGTACCTTTAAGGAATAAGCTTCTTAGAGATATTAAGAGGAAAAAGTGTGTGGAAGGTGGACAGAGGCACATGCCTTTAATCCTAGCACCTGGGAGGAAGAGGGAGGCAGATCTCTGAGTTTGAGGTCAGTCTGGTCTACAGAGTGAGTTCCAAGATAGTCGAAGCTACAGAGAGAGAAATCCTGTCTCAAAATAAAAAAATAGAAAAAAATAAAAAAAGGAAAAAGCAATAGTACATAAAGAATGATATTTGTTACATAAAAAAATAAGGCATTGCTTGTATGTGCTTGCAAATAAGAACTAGGTATCACTGGCAGCTTGAGAGGGAAAAAAGTAAAAAATTGGACAGTGTATAAATGGACTTGACGGAGAACTTTCATTGCAAGTCTTTTAATACCTCCTGAATTCTGAGTCTGTGAAGAATTTCCTCTTCAAAAGTTTACATTTAATTTTTTAATGTTACAATAAAGGGAAAAATGAAATATGAAATGTATGTAAACCTCCTGATCTGTAACAAGTTCCCAAGATATACAAGGACAAGTCAAAAAAGGAAGTTCAACAGTACATGTAATACACCCCCTTTTGAAAACCAAAAGGAGAATACACATTTGAATGTCTCAAGGATTCATAAGAAATGAATCCCACCAGCTGCCTTTGGGAGAGAAATAGCTGTGATGAATTTGAGGACAATTCATTTTTCACTACTTGTATCATTTCAATTGCTTATTTCCTCATTGTCCCTTAGTTCACATGTCTCCTGTCTGACTGGAAAGCAGCCCAGAGCCCAGGAACTGGATCCATATACATTCAGAATCAATTCACCAAGACTTTAAGGCCTAACATTTGCCAAGCTGCAGGTGAAGTGTCATTAACATTCTCCAGTTAAGGACAGGAAGCACCAGGTAGCCCCACCCATCAGTCAGTCAGTAGCAGAGGCTGTATTTAAACACTGACCCTCTTGAGACAGCACATCATAGCTGCGTCTAGTACCCCATGACCTTTTCTATATAGAGAATCACCTTGTGTTATGTGTATGCATTCATGTTTATGGGTGTTATCAACCTCCTGAAATACTGGCAGGATGGCACATGAGAGGCCATGCTGAAGGACTCAGTCTGTTTCCTTTATTTCTCGGGTAGAAAAATAAGGCCCAAAGAAGTTCAGAAACTCACAAAGATCACAAGTAAATTCTGCCAAAGCTCTTGCCTCTTGGACCAGGATTTTTCTATCAGTCTCTCACTGGTACTCAGACCACCACAATAAAGTCCAAGAAGATGTCCCTGATTAGGGTCCCCTAAGATAGAGAAGCACACAGAATCAACACATTCTAGGTCTACACAACTGTCCTGAGGGCAATCCTGCCCTCCACACAACCCCAGATGCCTATCTTGGTTCCTTCCTCCCAACTGTTTTCCAGATGAGGAACTGGGGCTTTCTGTGGTCATCTCATTGTATTTACGGGTGTGCTGTCTGTCTTCATTACTGAGAAAGTATACTCCAAAGTTTTTACTTATGTGTAAAAAACAAACAAGAGTTAGCCCCCCCCCCCCATCCTTCTTGCTCACTATTCTGTCCCTAGCAATGAGGACTGTTTGGTACATAGCAGGAGATTAATAAATAATAGGTAGGTGAATGGCTAGATGCACCAGGTTAGTCTACCTCATTTGATCAGGACAAGTTCATGGTTTCTTTACTGGAAAGGCAGGGGATCAAGTGAATATAAATGGCTCTCATCAGGTCCTTTCCCTAACAGAGCTGCTCTTATCTACCATAAAAAGGGCTTTCACATTCTCTTTCACTTTAAGTAAGGGTTCTTGGGTTTACAAATTTCAGGAAAGGAGCTGACCCACAGAGCAGCAGGGACTCTACACAGACAGAAACAACCATCTGATTAGCAGGCTGAGTCAGAAGCAGCAGCACTGCGGGACCAACACTCTGGGATCCTGGCTAAGTCACGAGAACCCCAGCTTTAGAATGAACAGATTAGACCACAGGATCATCTTTCTAAATTTCTAAGACCAATTCCTAACTTCTGACTAAGATTCTGATAATTTACCTGCCAGGAATGGAGGAAGTACTGAAAAAAAAAAAAGTTAAGTCTAATTTGTTCATGGCTGCTTTACACTATATTCATCAGATTCTATTTGTCTCAATAAAAATACCACCATTTTTAGGCCAGGCGGTGGTGGTGCACGCCTTTAATCCCAGCACTCGGGAGGTAGAGGCAGGCGGATCTCTGTGAGTTCGAGACCAGCCTGGTCTACAAGAGCTAGTTCCAGGACAGGCTCCAAAACCACAGAGAAACCCTGTCTCGAAAAACCAAAAAAAACCCCACCATTTTTGATGAGGCAGGGATTCTTAGAATTCTAGGCTAACTCAGGCTACATAAGGAACTCCTTTTTCAAAACAGACAAACACTAATTTTATTTGTCTGGTGTTTAAAAATTTTTTTTGGTGGGGAGGAGGGTTTGAGACCGGGTTCCTGTGTGTAGCCTGGCTTCAAACTCACTGAGATCTACCTGTCTCTGCCTCTCTAGTGCTAGAATTAAAGGCGCGTGCCTACTAAAAAAAAATTTTTTTTTACTACATTTATTTTGCGTGTACATGTAAGTGTTTAGGGGCCAGGGACAACTTGCAGAAGTCAGTTCTTTTCTTCCACCATGTGGGTCTCAGGGACTGAACTCCGACTGTTAGGCATGGCAGCAAGCACGGAGCCAGTTCAATAGGCTCTAGGTGGTTTATTTAGAAACAGTCTCACTCTGTCGCCCAAGCTGGCTTTGAACTTGTGTGACTCTTCTGCTTCTGCCTTGTAAGTGCTAGAATTACAGGCATGCGCCTCCATGCCCAGCTAAACACTATTATTACTCAGTGAGTGACTTCAAATGGTTAGAGTTCAGAGTACACTCACAGGACAATTTTGTCTTTTACTCTTTTGCTACTAATGAAGTCCCACACTCAGCTAAGTCTCTCTCTGGTTTTGACCTCTGGGAAGCTGGGGTCTAAAAGAGGTATGGGAGTGTCACCTACCTATACAGCTTGTACTTGGAGGCAAAAGCCTTGCCACAGTGCAGCTGAGGGCAGCTATACGGTCTCTGCTCCGGATGGGGAAGGCTGTGAGGCCTTAGCTTCTCCCCATTTGAGAAAGGTGTCCCCGAGATTTCACATTGGCACTTCACTTGACTCTCTGCCTCCCGGCCCCGAGGCCTGGGAACTAGTTTCCAGCCCACTTCCTCCTCCTGCTTTGCATCTTGAATCCAGGGAGGGACGCTGGTGAAAAATGTGGTCATGGCAAGGCTAATGGCAGAGGGCCATGTTATTCAGAAAGCCTCCCCATCGGTTCTGCTCAGTCACAGTCTCCAACGCAGCCTTTAGAAAACAGTCTCTTCACCTGAAACAGAGTACCTGGTGTTAGGAAGACCCATGCCAAGGGCACAGAGGCTCTAACAAACACCTCCCAGACCTATACCCAGCCATCTCCTCCCACTTAGTAGTGGTGTGACTTTCAAACAAGCACGTGCTTCCCTGACCTGCTTCCTTATTTACAAAACAGACACAACCCTCAAAATCATGTTTTGGAGGTCAATGCAGCAATGACTATAAAGCTTCCACTGGTACTTGGTGCTTGCCAGTGCTCATCAGGGTTATTCTAGTAGCTCTAGGCTAGAAGAGACAAGGTAATCCGAGGAATTAAACTTACCCTTCATTTTTACATCATCCCATAAAGCTTAGATAGCTTTCCTCCTCCTCTCCCTACTTCACTCCATCCTCTATTCTTCCCCTCATCAGAGGTGCTAAGGAACAATAAATATCCATAAGGCAACAGAGAACGAGAACCCTTTCATAGGAAATTCAGACCCAAACTAGGCCCTGTGCCACATGCACTTCTTAGCACCAGGAGGTTCCTTCTAGAGAACCTAGAAGTTGCCTCCAAGAATTTTCCCTAAACTAGTGCCAGTCCTACCCTGACCTCTACTGCCTTTCTGGATCTTTTGTTGTCCAGGTCCATCTTTACCTAAGTCGTGGTTTTTTGTTTTCTTTTAAACCACAAAAACCCACAGTGCTGAATGGTTCATTCTAGCGACTCAGAGGGTACACATGCAATTCTCTACTAAGACAAAACATTCTTGGAATGTAAGTCCTCACCGACTAATCTGAGGGATCCTTCTGTATTCCTTTCATTTCCATATACCTAACATCTAGAGAAGGAATTTCAACTTCCTTTTAAATGAGTACGTTACTCACTGAACTCAAGTTGATTCTCAGGGTCTTAATTTATGCCCAGAAATTCTAGTTTAAAACTGAGTTTGCCACCCTCCAAAGAAGCCAAAACTTGAAATTTGACCCTTCCCCTTGTTGGTGACAGTGGTGTAGTAAGGAGAGGAAGACAGAGTAACAATAACACAACCCTTTCCTGACACCAAATCAGAAACTATCCCAAAATTTAATCATGAGGATTTTCCACGTAAAGAGAGCAATGATGGTGTATCTGGAAATTGGCTATAAGAATCTGGGGAGAGCTTCAACTGCACAAACTAGCTGTGGATCATGGAATGCTTGCTCAGCTAATCAGCACCTGCTGCTTACAGTGACCATTCATCCAACAGACTGGCCATGAACGAGATGATCGTATCAGCGGGTTCACGCCCCAGAGAGCTTTGCTCATCATACCATGAGCTACATCCTGTTCAGGAATCATTCCTTTTGTTAAAAAAATACTGTAATGTAATATGACAGGCATTTCTCCTCACAAGTGGGGATTTGCCTAAAATCATCTGCACAAAAGTGGCAGTATTTGTATTAATCATGTACAGGAAAGAGCAAGAAATTACTGAAAAATACTCACTTGAGTTATCCTGGAATATCTGCCTGTTCTCTATACATCTCAAAGGCATCTGATGGCTGGCTTTCATTGTTCAAACTCACTCCCCTCCTGCGCAAGGGTGGAATTACCTGTTTATACCAGCGATTACTATGTACCCTGGAACTAGAGAGAATGAGCTCCAAGTATGCATGTCTAGTTTAGAGAGAATTTCCCATACCTTCAAAGTCAAATTCCGCTCCCGCTTCATATCTAAATCATGCATCTCAGCCTTAGAAGTTGGGAATGGCAGCTAGAGGAAAGCAAGTCACACTGCTCTAGCTGATGAGAGAAGGGAGCCTATCTCTGGAAATTCCGCACAAACTCAGAGAGAGAATGGTACATCCCCACCTCCCACACGTCCACCTCATCTGTTCTGGTGAACATGCACAAACAAGACACAGCAGTTTAGCATGTTGGCACTGAAAGAGTGAGTAATGGGCTTCTAGGAAACAGGCTGTTAGTGGCTAAGAGCTCGTGAAGATGCAGACAGAACCAGAGGAGGAAGGTGGGAACCACGTGCTCAACTTCAGCATTAATGAGGTTATGGCTTTAGAAGAAAAGAGTCACCACCTTGATCCTACTCCCCTAGACCTCTGAGAAAACAGCAAGATCCTTACCTATAATCAGTGGCCACCAGGCTGCTGGGCAGCCACAGTTGCTGGTATTACCTAGGAACCTTTTGGGGATCTAGTCTGACTTTCTCTGTGTCCTTTGTCTACATACTCCTCTGATTCAAAAAAATCCTGAGTTTGATTCATGAATCAGACCTAGTTCTTCATACTTCCTGTCAAAACTGTGAAAGAATGTTGCTTCTCCCCAAAGCTGCTCTTCTGGTCTCACTCTAACTGTAGCTATGGAGAAGCTGACAGAACCTGTTTCCATAAAACAAACACAATCCCTCCCAGGGACTGGTATAAGTCAGTGTATTTTCAGCCCAAGATTCTTCTGGCATCTGATCTGAAGGGGGAGGCAGCACGGAAAGAACCTTGGACTTGCTATCAGACGAGCCACCACTCACTGGCTGTGAAACCACAGGCAGGTTATTTCATTTCTCTGAACCTTACTCTCCTCAATTTCTGGAAGAGATTCATTCTCAATCTGTACATTTTCTAGAGGATGAAGTGAAGAAGTGGCACTATTTAGAGTAACATGAAATGTGAACAAATGAAGCCCACAAGGGCAATATCGCTGCTGCCTCTCTTCATGAGGGCCCAGTGGAACTTCTCTCTCCCTCTTGGTGTTACTTCTCATGCCTCAAAGTCAGTTTCCTTCCCTTCCCAACATCTCAGAACTCAGCCTTCCTCTTTTCCCTCACTGTTAACCCTCACCACCAGCCCTTTACCTCCCTCCAGCACATCCCTGGGTCAGAGTTTTCTCTTGCCTGGATGACCACTTTATTATGCCCTCTTCTATTATTAAAGTTCCATACCCAAAGTAAGAATGCTTGCTCAATGCTCTCTGTGGCCTTTAGAAGCTCCGGTCTGTCTTCTGTAGTGCTGTGATGTAGGCTGCCCTCTGATGAAACTATAGTTTTTATGGTGTTACATCATCTCTATAGAAACTGCGTTCTTTCTCCATTATTAGCCTGTTTCCTCATCTGTAAAGCTAAAAATACTTACCTCACAGTCTGGTTGTAAGGATTATTTTAGTCAGGTATGCAAAAAGCTCAGCATTAGGTTTGGCCTGCTCAAAGTGCCCAGCAAAAGAAAGCTATTATCTTGGTCTTTGTACTGAATTTTGTGTTCCCACCTTCGGCTGCCACAGTCCAATTTTCCCAACTCTCCCCATCAAATAATGTTGAGCCAGCAGTTTCTGCAGCAAGGAAAGGGTTAATCTCTGAGTGTTCTTAACCAAAGAGACCCACAGAGGATTAACAGCTCCACTTCAGTGACTACCCTAAAATAGCTTTTATCCCTCCTGCCCAAGAGCTACTTGGGGACCTGAAGAACTCAATTCAACACCTGCCTAGGAGGAAACACACCCAGAAAGGTTCTTGGAGGTGGGATCTTCCCTCAAAAGAACTTAAAATAGCAACTGGGAAATTATAAATAGTGTTAGAAGGGAAAACAAAGCAGGCCTTGACCTGGGCAACAGAAACAAATCCAGAGGCACACTGGTTGGCTGGAAAACAGCAAGGGCCGGAGGAATGGAAATAGCTGCTCGTTTCCTGAGGCCAGCACACACACACACCACTCCGGAATGGTGGGAGAATTAAATTACAGGGAGGCCCGAGAGTCTCAATGACTTGCATCATTCCAAGAAACATCAAACAGGATTAACAGGGGTAGGATTTACTCTCAAGCTGCTAGTTCTTCTGTCAGTGTAGATGGGCCTCTTCGGAGTCCCTTTGATTCCCTATTTCCTCGGATTCCCGCTGCCTCCCACCCCTGGGGAGCCCTTGAGCAAATGGCTGCACCTCAGTCCAGCCTCATTTCCACCTACAACCCCCCCACCTCCAACTGCAACTCAGTCCAGCCTCATTTCCACCTACAACCCCCCCCCCCCCCCCCAACTCAGCTGCTTTCCTAGGGAAGAGAGGGTTAGAAACCCAAGGCCAGACTTATCACGGCCCCGGGCTGACAGGTGGAAAAACACACAAGCCAGGAGTCAGGCTATGCGGGCAGGTGAAAGCACGCACTCCCCTCGGCAGCCAGGACCCTTTTCCCTTCTGTCCCAAGGACGGACGGACCACAGCACAGCGCTGGGGCTGTAGGCAAACAGGCTGGCCCTCTGACCAGCTGCTAGATCACCCCATTTTGTGTGAAATGTTAAATTCTCCCTACGAGTGGAAGATGGCACTTGGAGGAGGGGAGAAAATAAGAATTCAGAAAGAAGTCTAGATAGGGTCTCCAAGATGGGAAGAGCAAGCGTGCACGGTAAAGAATCACGAACACGGTATTTGGGTCTCTAAGAGACCACCACGAGAAAGAGGTAGGGAGATTCCATAGGTCGGAAGAGGCTGGGGGGGGGGGGTGAGGACAATTTCAAGAGGGTCTAGAAACGGGACTCTCCCGATGGAAAAAAAATGTCTAAAGTTTCCTCAATACGGTCACTGGGAGGCAACTACAGGTAGGACCTTATTTGGGGTTCTTCAGACCGAGGTATTGGAGCGAAGCCTCAAAGTAAGTTTATGAAAGTCTGGAAAACGAAAGAGCGGAGAGGACTATTTGGAGCAGGAAAGGGGGTTATGTGGGTCGGAGTAGGCGTGTCCGAGGAGAGAGCAGGTGCAGCTTATCTATGCCCCCCAGACCGCGGTCCCGAGGAAGGTCAGCAGCGTGTTATCTGGGTCTCCAGGGAGTCTGGGGGGCGGGGGGTCGACAGTGGGGGACCCCCGGGGCTCAGTCTCCAGGTCTAGGAATGGAGGGAGCCTGAAAGACTTGTTCCGGTCCCCGGGGCACAAGTCTGAGGTCCGGGAAGCGTTTTCGTCACCACGGGGCCTATCCGGGGCCCGGCTGCGGCAGAGGGGGCCCCCAGTCAGGGGTGTGGGCGACCGCGCTGGGCGGCCCGAGGTGAGGGGCGCCGCCGCTCCGAGTGCCGGGCGTGTAGGTACAGCGCGACGGCCTCCCGCCCCGCTCCCCACCATCCCCCAGGACCCTCGCCGGCACTCACTGCGCTCGGGACCCCGCGCTGCGGGCAGGGCCGCGCTCGGGCTCCGCCAGGCCCGCTCAGGCCCCGGTAGTGGCGGCGGTCGGGCCATTGTGCGGTGCATTGTGGGAGCCGCGCGAGCGGGCGCTCGGGTCGTGGAGGGGGCGGTGCCGCGGGCTCTCTATGGTCCCGCCCGCCCGCGGGCTAGAGCGGCCAAGCCGGCGCGCGGGCGGCGCGCGGGGAGCGTCGGGAGCGGGGCGGCCACTCGCGCCTCGGCTTTCCCCCTCCCCGCCTCTCAGCCGCGACGCTCTGGGGCTCCACCGCCGACATGGGCGCCGCCGCGTGGGCACCGCCACACCTGCTGCTGCGGGCGTCTCTCCTACTTCTGCTACTGCTGCCGCTGCCGCTCCGGGGGCGGTTGGCGGACTCCTGGGACCTGGCCGGTTACCTGCTCTACTGTCCCTGCATGGGTAAGGCCTCCCGAGCCCACTGCTCAAATGGAGAAACTGAGGCTGGGGAGGCGGAGCCACTTCTGCGAGGCTCCTAGAGACGCCTCGTTAGGTCCAGGAGAGACCTCCTGGAGCGGGACAAAGTGTGCTCTTCGCTGTCCTAGCTGCACGGGTGCAGACGGGCCACTAGTGTTCAATTTGCCATTCGTCGGACTGGAGAAGCTAAGTGATTCACTCAAGGTCTAATCCGAGACCAGTAAATGGAGTTTGTCGGGCAAGACTTGCCCGCGCTAAATCGTGGCAGTTCCTACATTCATTCAGCAAGTATTTATGTGCCACTTTTTTTTTTTTTTTTTTTTGGTCCCAGGCGCTGTCTTCTGTGCCAGTAGTGAATGAGACAGATACATCTCATACATACCCTTGTAGATCTTTCATTTTAGGAAGACGGACAATAAACCAAAGTTTTGTTTTTGTTTTTTTAAGTACGTGAATAATTTGGTACAAGGTGATAAAAACTGAGGTAATAAAAGATAACAAGGACTCTTAAGAACCAGTCCAGGAATGCTATTTAAATGGAATAGTAGATCATCACTGAAAAATTCATTCCTTCTTACAACCCTTAGTTGCTTGCATACCTGACCATGGCTGTCATCTTGGATGAGGTGGCTCCACTCTGGTCTTCTCCATGCCCCTTCTCCCTTGGCCCTCCAGCTACAGACACACTAACCTGCTTTCTTCTGTTCCTCACACACACAAAGGTCTATGAGTTATTCCCTCTTCCTGGAACAGCCTCCTCTAATTTCTGCCCCCACCCCACCCTTCTCATCCTTGAGGCCTTAGCATACATACTAGAGAGGACTGACCCCACTGATCTCTGCTCAAGTAATTTCCTTAGTTTCCCATCACCAAACCTTTTCGTTTTCTTCCTTGCAACTCTCAAAATCTTTCTTAATGAATTTGTTTTCATGTTTGGTGTCTCCAAACCTGAATTAGGACTGAGTGCCTGGAGGGCAGAGATCTTTACCTTTGCCCTATTTTATATTGTAACATGTAACATTTTATATTGTGGCATCCTGCACATTTTGGCCTTGCAGTGTTTTTGGAGTGGATGAATGGATGCCATATCGATGATAGCTTAGTGTGGTTGCTTACAACTGAAATCTCAGAATTGGAAGCCAGAGACAGGTGGATTTCTGTGAGTTTAAGGCCAGTCTGATCTACATAGAGCAGCCAGGACTACCTAGTGAGAACTTGGCAAAACAAACAAACAAACCAAGCAAACAAAAGAAAACAAAAACCAAATAGGCCTTTATATGCGAAACATCCACAGGCTGAAAAAAAACAGTTGATACAGAAAGCCAGAAAGTGGGGGGAAAAAAGACATTTGAGGGGAAATGGCAAATGCGAATAACCCAAGTTGTGGGTATAGCTCAATAGTAATGCACACATGCATGCAACAAGTTTGAGACCCTAGGTTAAATCCCCGGCACATAAATAAATCCATAATCTGATTACACAGCTGTAATCCTAGCACTTAGGAGGTAGAGGCAGGAAGATTGTCACAAGTTCAAGGACAGCCTGGTCTATAAAACAAGTTTCAGGCCAGCCAAGACTACACAGACCCTGTCTCAAAAAATAAAATAAAATAACTCAAATCCATGCTGAGAGCAAGAGAATTGGATAGGGGTGATCAAAGTGTCTTAGCAAATGAGGTATCAGGGTCACCCCCCCCCTTCTTGTGTAAGTGGAAACAGACCAAAGGACACTCCTGGCAAGGAGAACAAGTAGGGATCATGGAGCATGTTAGGGAAGTGGCATGGAATCTGGAGTGACTAAGCCATGTCAAATGTGGAAGCCTAGACCTCTTAGGTGCCAGTGTTACTAACTCACCTGGGTGACTTGACCCTCACCCATCTCAGATGTACGTCTTTTCTGAGCACTTCATACATCATGCCTTTAGTGCCCCAGACCACTCTACCCATAATCTACCATTTCCAGGGCGCTTTGGGAACCAGGCCGATCACTTCTTGGGCTCCCTGGCATTTGCAAAGCTACTGAACCGCACCTTGGCTGTACCTCCATGGATTGAGTACCAGCATCACAAGCCTCCTTTCACCAATGTGAGTACGTGTGTTAACTTCGGCCCCTGTCCACCTTCCCCGTGCTGGCTGACTTGCTTGACTCTAAGGCCTCTGGCTTTCACTTCCACTCCAGGCTTGTCCTGTTCTCTGCCTAGAATTGTCTTCCTTGAAATAGCAACTTTTTTACCCAACACCTGCCATGTGCTGGCACTATCTGAACACTGTGTGAGGATTAACTCATCTTTCCCACAGCTCATCCTCGAGGAAACCCAGGTTTAGAGGGGTGAGGTAACTTGCCCAAGATTGCACAGCCTGTGGGTAGTACTTGAATTCAACCCCAAGGCTGACTACTTCCAGAGACTATCTTGAAACTAAAGCCTCCGTTTCCAGTCCTGATTCACCCTGCCTTGCGAACATCCTATTGGTCAATAGTAGGTGATAAGTGCTCTTATCAATTTTAAAAAAGAGATTGAGGCATGGCTTAGATGGTAGTATGTTCAAGGCTACCAACCCAGGGAGTCTGGCTCCAGTGCTGCCTCTCATCCCAGCAAGAGGTCCCTGGGCATAACTTTCTCATCATTTGCTGATACTTAGCTTATTCTTTGTGTCTTCCCATGGCCTTCTGTTTCCTTCTGTTCACCATGTCCCCAGAGACCTGGATGTGGGAACTTAATATTTAAGAATTGACTTTAAAAGTTTAAGTAGTTAACAAAAAGTTAAGTAGTTAAAAAAATATATACTTAGCATGAACAGAACACCGTTTTTAATTCCAATGCTTTTTCTCTGTGTGTATTTTTTTTTTCTTTGCATGGAAGTTGTATAGCCTGGGCAAACTACTTCATATTTCTGTACCTCAGTTTCCTCACCTTTACGATAACCTGTGATGGTTGGCTACCTCGTGATGAGGATTGAATGCGTTACTGAAAGTAGTGCCTTGATCCTGCCTCAGGTCTTCCTCTTAGAATCTGCTAGGCTCCTCAGTATACCGAACCAGGACACAGGAAGTTTCTCAGATCTGACTTGTTAGGCTTTATGGACAGATTTATTGCTCATCTGTCTCTGTCTTGCTGGCTTGCTGTATCCTAGCCTTCTCAGCCAGCTGTCACACTGAGTCTCCACTTCTTTACTTTCTATGGATGTCACAACCTGTCTCAAATAAGCTTCCAGTTCCTAAAGTGACTATTGTCACTGAGGTCACCAGCGACCTCAGAATTGCCAAATCAAGGTTTATTTCTCAAACTATGTCTTACCTGACCACCCAATGACTCCCTATGAGCCTCTCCTGTTCTTAAACTTCCTCCTCCCCTGGCTTCCAGGACATGGCTTCTGCAGTCCTGACCTCAGCAAGGTTCCATTTTTTGTGCCTCAGTCAGGGCTCACCCATAGTTCTGCTGGTGATGTCCTTCCTCTGAGTCAGGTAAGCAGACCCTTGTACAAGGCTGAGTACAGCACCTGGAACTAAGTCAGCACTCAGTGAATAGCAACAGCTGCTGCTGCCATTAGCTGAGTGTTGTAGGTGCCGTTGACTAGATGGGGTTCACTGTTCTTCTTACACCTCCAGTACGCCTCTGGTACAGGTGCTATTCTGACCACAGACTTGTGTTTCTTACGTTAGACACTCAGGTCTGCTTAGTTGTCATAGGTATCTCAGATTTAGAACGCTGGAGCTACACTTGCTATTTTGCCTACAAACCTGTGTCACCATCTGCAATTCCAGCCTCAGTATCCACCATCTCTACTCACCTGGGCTCTAGGTTTCGGCCTGAATGCCCCTCTTGAATACACACTCAGCTCTCAAAGCTTCAGCTTCACCTTCTTTGGTATCTAGACCACTTCATATCTCACTTAGATGTATGGGAGGTACATATTAACTGCATGCTTAATAAGCTGGGTGTGGTGGCTCATGCCTGTAAATCTGGCTCTTGGGAAGCTGAAGTAGGAAGATTGCTTTGAGCTTAAGTCCAGCCTGGGCTACATGGGAATGTCTCCAAATTTCTTTCAAAATAAAACTAAGTGAATAAATAATCATTATAGTAGCTCCATAATTCCCCTCCCTTTTCTGTTCTTAAGTAGTCAGTGCAATCTCCTCTCTGTCAACAGATCAATTCTTCCAGAAAAGCAAACCTTGCTAACTGTGATGAAGTCCTGTACATCTAGCACTTGGAGGCTGAGGCAGGAAGATTGTAAATTCAAGGCCAGTCGGAACTACATACAAGTACCAGGCTAGCTACCACTATATAGTGAGATCAAGTGTCTCAAAAAAAGAAAGAAAGAAAAAAAATTCTGTCTGGTTTCAGAAATGCTAGTTCCAATTCCCATTATCCCAAGTTTTTAGATTGAGGATATACAACAGCACAGCAAAGGCCTTAAGGAGCCCTGCTGCAGTAAAGAAGCCAGCTTAAAACAGAATTTTCTAGATCTCTTCAACTCTGGAGCCTTATACTTTATTGATTGATTGGTTGATTGATTTTTTTTTTAAGACAGGGTTTCTCTGTGTATCCCTGACTGTCCTGGAACTCAGTCTGTAGACCAGGCTGGCCTCAAACTCACAGAGATCCGCCTGTTTCTGTTTCCTGAGTGCTGGGATTAAAGGGATGCACTACCACACCTGTAGCTCTGAAACCTTTTTACTTCACCTGACCTCTTGGGATATGCTTTGAGAAACCTTGACCTGTAGGATAGAATCCAGATTTTGTTTCATGGTGTTGTAAGAATATATTTAAGCTAAATTTTTATTCTTTTGTTTGGTTTATTTTTTGGGTTTTGTTTGTTTGTTTGTTTTTAAAGAGAGTCTCATGTAGCCCAGGCTGACCTCAGATTTGCAATGTGAATGACTTGAATTCCTGCCTCTATTTCCAAAGTGCTAGGATTACAGTTATACACCACACCTGACTCAAAACTTTTTTAAAAAATTAAAAACCTGGGCTGGAGAGATGGCTCAGTGGTTAAGAGCATTGCCTGCTCTTCCAAAGGTCCTGAGTTCAATTCCCGGCAACCACATGGTGGCTCACAACCATCTGTAATGAGGTCTGGTGCCCTCTTCTGGCCTGCAGACATACACACAGACAGAATATTGTATACATAACAAATAAATAAATATTTAAAAAAAAATTAAAAACCTGCCAGGCGGTGGTGGCGCACACCTTTAATCCCAGCACTCGGGAGGCAGAGGCAGGCGGATCTCTGTGAGTTCGAGACCAGCCTGGTCTACAAGAGCTAGTTCCAGGACAGGCTCCAAAACCACAGAGAAACCCTGTTTCGAGAAAAAAAAAAAAAAATTTAGAACTTATGATGATGACTCTAACCGCCATCCATGAACTCACCTGATTGGAAGTGGTCCTCGTGAACATATTCTTCTTCTTCTTGCCTCATCATCTCTATTTTGATTTTCTGAGACAGAAGTTTATAAAGCCCAGGTTGGCTTCAAACTCTCTGCTCTTCCACCACGATCTCCAAGTGGTCAGATTACATTCATGCACCACTGTGCATGCTTTTCTGATCACATGCATGCACCACTGTGCATGCTTTTCTGATCACATGCATGCACCACTGTGCATGCTTTTCTGATATCATGCATTCCTGTAATGAGAAGAAATAAAGAATTGTTTGAAAAGAAACAAAGCTTTGCAGGTCAAGTCGATGAAAAGTTTGCTAACCCTGGTCTCTTGCTTGACGGCAACTACCCTCATGGACTTTGTGATGTGACTGCTTCTTTCCTTGGCTTCCATTGAGTAACTGAGTGCCATCCACACTTCCTTTAGGAAGTACCAGAGCCTCTTCAGAGTGAATACCGTCTGTAGAAGGGGCATGCCATGCTCTGGGTATGCACCCCAAGTAGTTGTCCCAAAGCAAGCATTACTCCCAGCAGCCATGTAGAGAGGGCCATAGAGCTCAGTTTTGTACCTTTGTTCCAAAAATGAGAGTTGACTTTAAAATTCTCCTCTTAGGAGAGAAGTAAAGCCACTACAGCAGCAGCCTGCTTTTTGTAACTACTGGTGAGGCCGCACATCTTTTGAATGTATGGGCTGTTTGGGTTCCTTTGCTGTGAGATGTTTGCTGTCTCACTCACCTATCTTTCCTTGTAGATATCAGGCATTTTGAACACCAGAGATGCTGCTGTTTGTTCTTGAGCTGGAAGATAGCTTCTCTCAGTTTGTCTTTGTCCTAACTTTGGTGTCTTGTCGTGGCTATTGTAATAGGGATGAAGCCTACTGCCTCATGCATGCTAGACAGGAACTCTACCACTGAGCTTGAGCCGAAGCCCACTCCAGGCCTCTCATATCACCTAGTCTGGGCCTTAGAATTACTATGGAGACCTGTACCCCTCTTTTTTCTCCTTTAGCTCCATGTGTCCTACCAGAAGTACTTCAAGCTGGAGCCCCTCCAAGCCTACCATCGTGTTATTAGTCTAGAGGACTTCATGGAAAAGCTGGCCCCCACCCACTGGCCCCCTGAGAAGCGGGTGGCATACTGCTTTGAGGTGGCAGCCCAGCGGAGTCCTGATAAGAAGACATGTCCCATGAAGGTAGAGCCTGTTCTGTGTCCTCGAGGCCCTTGATGTAGCAGTGTGGGGAAAGATGGGGATGTGGTCTGTTTCTGGCCATTTTTAACAGTGTCACCTTTGGCACACTTGTCTGAGCTTTGTCTCTACCTGTTGTAGCTGGCGTATAGAATGTAGGCCGTATGGAAGAGCACCTGGAGCAGAAGTGCTGTCAGCATAGTAACTAATGCCCGCACAGCAGTCCCACATGCAGACTGCTCCATGAGAAAGATGCTGATGATGTCCTCATGGTGTAAGGAAGCCCTTGGCCAACATGGTGTAGCTTGGCTCTTAATGTTCTCCCACTTCTCAGCAGGACAAGAGCTGTCATGGATAATTAGTAAAAATGTGCATTTCTGGTATTTTGTGAATGATACACCCCAATATCTTTTGGTACAAGTGGTAGAAAAGCTATAAATTTTAAAAGTGCCTAGCTTGTCTCCCCCTATATTGCCCTTACCAGCTGTCTGACCTTGGGCACATGTCTTACCTTCTGTAAGTCTGATTTCATCTTGAAAAGTGGCATGCTATAGTATCTTTTTAAAGCTTGAGTTTCGTGGTTCTCAACCTGTGGGTCACAATCCCTTTGGGGCTCCTAATACTATCAGAAAACACATGCTTTTATGAACTAGCAATGAAAATAATTTTATGGTTAGGGGTCACCACAACATGAGGTTTTATATATGTATGTATGTGTATGTGTATGTATATATACATATATACATACATATGTTATAAAGGGTCACATCATTAGGAAGGTTGAGAACCAGTGCACTAGTTCCTAGCATAGTTCCAGCCCAAACCTACCACTACAGGGTTAGTGGTATATGACATGTGAACAGAGTAGATTCCTTCACACACAGGTGGAAACCCAAAGAGCACAAGCCCTCCCCTCAGCCCCTAGCCAAGGGGCCATCCTATAAGAATTCTTTACCGGGTGTCTCGCCATCCATCTCTCAAGGCCCTCTCTGCAGTTCTTTGGCCTCATCCCCAGGTAACTTGCCCTCCCATTGACTAAGCTTTCCACTGCTCTCTTTTTGCAGGAAGGAAATCCCTTTGGACCATTCTGGGACCAGTTTCATGTGAGTTTCAATAAGTCGGAGCTGTTCACAGGCATTTCCTTCAGTGCCTCCTACAAAGAACAATGGATCCAGAGGTACTTGGAGGGGATAGCAGTACTGAGTTTAGGGAGGGCTGGGGCTCAGAGGCATCCAGCTCCTTCCTGGCCTTTCCACCTCTACTCCACCCTCTTGTAAGAGACCAAAGGTGCAAGCACTGTGTTCTGTCTGTTGAACTTGGGATCCTATGTGCTCTGTTTCCATCTCATCGCCTGACACAGCGGGATGTTGACCTGCCCCAAGGTTGAGCAAGAGTTTCTCGGCTGATAAGGGATGTCATAAAAAGAACATTGTTCAGTCACATGCATGTCGATTTCCTCCTCCAGGCGTGAGAATCACTCCCCTGTTGTCTTCCTCTTCACAGGGTGAAAAACTGGAAGCATTGCCTAGAGAAAAGCTCGGGTGCAGACTGAGAAGTGATGTCACCCTCATAATTACTAGCTAGGCTTTATTAATTGTGTGCCATAGGCCTTATTTAAAAAAAATAGGTTAGCAGGACACAGGCACAAGCTGTGAAATATTTATGGAGCGTCTGTCATGTGTGAGACACAGTATTCAGAGACCAAAGGTGTATGCAAAAATGAGGATGGCCCAGCCCTTTTCTCTGGAGACCACAGTCTAGTCAGATTGATATCCTTGCATGGGGAATCTGTCATTGGGGCCCTAGCAGTGCAGGAAAGAGCCTGGGCTGTGTCAGAATGGGCTGAAAAGCCAGGCATGGTGGCACACGCCTTTAATTCCAGCACTCAGGAGGCAGATCTCTGAGTTTGAGACCAGCCTGGTCTACAGAGTTTTTCTGGATAGCAAGGGCTACACAGAGAAAGCCTGTCTTGAGAAAAAGAAAAGGAAAAAAAAAAAAAACAGATTAATTAGGGAGTAATAGGAGCAGCAATACAGACAGGAGTGAACACTGTGAGCTCAACCCAGCTTTGCCTGTTTCTCAGGAGACTGAAAACCATTCGAGGTCTCTGGTCCCAGTTTCCACTAAAGAATTTGCTTCCTAGCGTAGAAAGTGTACGTATGGAGCATACTAAGCAAGCAGTCAGCTCTCACTCATATGCTTTATGTTAATTGTATTTATAAGAAATTTAATGAAATGGCTGTTATTATCAGTTTCATCTTGAGAATGTTGGGGGTTGACACATGTTGGTAAACCCTCTACCACTGAACTACCCATTTCTCAGTCCTCAGTTTTACAAAAGGAAGCTGAGCTCAATGATTAAATACCCAAGGTAGTAAGGCTACCACATAGCCAACTTGGATCTGCATGTGAATCTTTAAAGTAGTAAGAGCTGGGGCTGGAGAGATGGCTCAGTGGTTAAAAGCATTGCCTGTTCTTCCAGAGGTCCTGAGTTCAATTCCCAGCAACCACATGGTGGCTCACAACCATCTGTAATGAGATCTGGTGCCCTCTTCTGGCACACAGACAGAATATTGTATACATATAAATAAATAAATAAATATTAAAAAAAAAATAAGCTGGCCGGGCGATGGTGGTGCACGCCTTTAATCCCAGCACTCGGGATGCAGAGGCAGGCGGATGCAGAGGCAGGCGGATGCAGAGGCAGGCGGATCTCTGTGAGTTTGAGGCCGGCCTGGTCTACAAGAGCTAGTCTCAGGACAGGAACCAAAAGCTACAGAGAAACCCTGTCTCAAAAATTAAAAAATAAATAAATAAATAAAAATAAAGTAGTAAGAGCTAACACATTTCATACATGTTGTATGCCACACTATTCCTAAAGTCTTGGTAGGCTTAAGCTCAGGATTAATGAATCTTTGGAATGGTATGGTCATCTAAGATGTCTGCATAAAACAAGAAGCAGAGAAGAACGCAATCCCTTAGTCCAAGGTCATGAACTTTGAAATAGCAGAGTCTGACCCAAAAACCCATTCCTTCTTTTCATTTTTCGAGTCAGGGCTTCTCTGTGTAGCCCTAGTATCCTGGAACTCTCTGTATACCAGGCTGACCTCGAAGTCACAGAGATCTGCATGCCTCTGATTCCTGAGTGTTAGGATTAAAGGCATATGCTATCACCAGTTTGGACAGTTCTTTTGACTTGGATTTTTTGTTTTGTTTTGTTTGGAACTTGTTTTCTATTTTCTTTATACAAAGTTTAAATACAGGTTAACATTTAATTTTTTGCAATGAGTAGTTCAGAAAGAATATCTACCACAGACTAGATAGTTTTGGGGGGTTTTGTTGTTCGTTTGTTTGTTTTTCAATAAACAAATTGCCAGGCATGGTGACTCAGACCTGTAACTCTCACACTCAGAAAGCTGACACAGGAGGATCAGGAGTTGAAGGCCAGTGTGAACTACATTAGTAAGTTTAAGGCCAGCTTGGGCTACATGAGACCCTGTCTAAAAACAAAACAGCAAAATTAAATGTTTTCTAATCCCACTGCTACAGGAGCACCATTAGTCCTTTGTAAGTGCATTTGCCCTTCAGTATATTTATACCCATGAACACATCTACATACATTAATTAAACTTGCTGTTTGCTCAGGCTGGTCTTGAACTTGTAAACAGTAATTTTAGCAGGGTCAATTTCAAACATGAAAACATGAGAGTTTAAAAGAGTGAATAGCATTATATGTATGTATATTTATGTTGATGGAGTTTTTTTGGGTTTTTTGTTTTGTTTTTGTATTTTTGAGACAGGTTCTGGCTTGCAACTCGCTATGTATACTGGCCTCTAACTTTTGATGCTCTTCCTGCCTCTGCCTTACTTTGCTGGGATTACAGATGTGCCCCATCATGCCCAACTCAATGAGCTTTTTTAAAACCACTATAAGTGTACAACTCAGTCACATTATGTACATTGTAATGTGCGGCCATTGCAACCCTCCATCTCCAGAACCTTTTCCTCTTCTCAGCCAAAGACTGTACTCAGTAAAGGCTAATTGTCACTCCCCACTTTCCCTTCCCCAGTATACCTGACTCTAATTTCGCTATGAGCTCACCCATTCTAGGAACCTCAAGCATTGGATTGACAGTCATGTAGTATTTGCCTGTTTAAGTCTAACTTGTTCACATAGCAGCATGTTGTCTTCAGGCTTTGTCAGTATTGAAGCATGCGTCCAGATCTCACTCATGCTAAAGCTGAATGGCACAGTTTGATTCATCTGTTTTGTCTCCCGCCACATGGATCATTTCCGCTCTGCTGGTTCCCAGTCTGTGAGTCCTGTGGTAGAGCTTCAATTCAACAGATAACGTATGCTTATTTGCTATCATAGTCTTGTGATAGCAAGCCTGCTCCAAGACTGTACCTAGGGTGTGCAAAAAAAAAAAAAATCCATGAATATGGCGAGGGTTAAACTTTTTCTGTCTGAGGCGTAATAAAGAAACACACACTTTCTGATGGTAACTTTGCTCTTTTACTTCATCTTTAAAAAAATCTCTTTCTGAAAACAGCTACATTTTTCATACACCTCTTCTCCACAGCTACATAGCTCTTCTGCCTACAAATCTGTCTCTTATACATCTCTCTTCAGCATATCTCCTCTTTTTTTTAAACTTATTTATTTTAGGTAATTATTATTATTATTTTATGTATTATTATGTATACAACATTGTGTGTATGCCTGCAAGCCAGAAGAGGGCACCAGACCCCATTACAGATGGTTGTGAGCCACCATGTGGTTGCTGGGAATTGAACTCAGGACCTTTGGAAGAGCAGGCAGTGCTCTTAACCTCTGAGCCATCTCTCCAGCCCAGCAATCTCCTCTTACACATCTTTACACAGCTGCTGCTCCATCTCTACACAGTCTGTCTTCTTCTACACAACTCTCTCGGCACATACCGCCTTCTACACATAGCTCTCGCTGCGCACACCTCCCTCAACCACCCACTCTGGACAGTTATGAGTTGCGTATACAGATCTGACCCATTCTAATGACACATGATAAGTCACAGGGTTTCTCTTAGGCTAGGGAGGTCATGCTGACCATGCATGGTGAGTAGAGCAGGCACATAGCTTTAAGTGGTCAGGATTCCCAGACAGGGAGTGACATTGAAACTCAGGACTGAAACAGTAAACAGTTAATTGGCTGTACCTTGAGTCCTGCACCACAAACTGAAGCAAGGAGTATGTGCAGAAACTCAATTGCTGCAGGGTGTTATGTCTTAATGTTATCGGCTTAACTTTGGTTCAACAAACAGACACCTTAGAACTTGCCTTTATGTATTTTTGCAGGAGTAACTAGTCTATTTTGAATCTGCCCTGAAATCTAAAATCAGCTAAATGTATAAAAAGCTGCCTTTCTAACTGAGGCATGGCACTCAATAACTAGAATATTTCAAAAATATTCTAGTATTATTTCTAATCATCAAAATTGTACAATTAAGCAGAAATCATCTTCCTGACTATCCACAGCTGTATGTGTGCCCAGTAGATGGACTGTATATACTAGGTAAACACACAAGCAGTGGGGAAAATACCCACAGCTGTTTTTAGGGAAGGAATGTTAGTGGCACATGGGAAAAATTACAGACAGAAGCGACCAGTTTCTGTAGCCAGTGACTTATGGTCTTTGCCTAGTGAGGCCCTCCATCAGAGAGTTACTCATCTGGTGGGTTGACTTATGTAGTATTAGTTGTTATTTATTGTATATTCTTTTTCTTTTTTTCGGGAGGAGTGGGGTTTCCAGACAGTGTTTCTCTGTGTAGCTTTGGAGCTTGTCCTGGCATTCACTCTGTAGACCAGGCTGGCCTCTAACTCATAGAGATCCACCTGCCTCTGCCTCCCAAGTGCAGGGATTAAAGGCATGTACTACCACTGCCTGGCATGTTGCATATTCTTAGTGGCCTTCAGTAAAGCCATTGCTACCATCAGCTCTCAGCAATTTGTTCTTGGAAGTATGTGGACCATTGTGTTGAAATTATCCTCATGTATAAAGAACAGATATCTGAGTATATCGTGGCAGCTTTTTGTCCTGTGACAAAATACCAGAGAAAATGAACTTAAAGAAGGAAAGATTCCTCTTGGCTCATGGTTTCAAGGGCTTTAACTTGTCACTTGGTTCTGCTACCTCTGCAC